TGTGGCCAAAATAGGAAAAAACAAAAAGTTAGCATTTAGTAATTATAAAAAAAAACAAAGTGAGGAAGACAGAATGATCTATAAGATTAGGCAGAAAGAGGCTAAGCAAGTTATAAGAGCTTCCAAATCACACACAGAAGAGTAAATAGCACAGTCAGTAAAAAAAAGGGGGCAAAACTTTTTTTAGATACATAAATGAGAAAAGGAAAGTAAAACAAGGATTAGTTACATTAAAAACAAAAGAAGGAAGTTATGTAGAAGATGATAAAGGTCTAGCTGACTGCCTCAATGAATATTTTTGTTCTGTATTTACAGATGAAAATGAAGGAAAGGAACCTCACTTAAGAAAAAGGATAAATGAGTCATTTATTACACGTGAGTTTACAGAGGAAGAGGTTCTATTTCTTTTTTTTTGTAAATATCTTTTTATTAAACCTTTCGTTTTTGTTGATTTTGCAACATATAAAAGAGAAACCTGGACTCGCAGGTCCCTCTGGTCATTCACAGAAGCTTATACATCGGAAGGCATGTTATGACATACGTGTCTGGGCGACTCGCAGGTCGCTTTCTTGAGTAAATAGCATGTGTATTGTGGACTCGCAGGTCCATTGTTACATGGTGGTGCTTAGTACTCTGTTATATTTGATATGTACCATTCCTACGTTGGGTGGTTTTGCATGCCCCACCGTTGTTGTGTTTTGTTTGTCTATTCCCCATGCCTACCTTGTAGCCTCTAGGCAGTAGTGAGACATGTGGCCATCTGGTGTGTAGGTTCCCTTCAGGACGCGCAGCCCCCCAGTGACCTTGTGTCCAGGGTCCTACCTGGCAATATTGTGGGGTGTTGGCCCCCTGCCTTAGTATGATTCGGTTCTGCCCAGCGGTACAGGTGGTGTTGATGGGAATAACCTAAGGGGCATCCTGCGACTCCCTCCAAACTAATGAGCTTTATAGCTCACAAAACTGGCGCTTTTCCACCCCCTTTGCTCGCAAGGCCGCAGGCCGCCCCGGGCCCCGCAAGTAGTCGCACCCGAGCGGGTGTCGCAGCCCTCCCCGCACGCCCCCGTGCCGCCCCCTGGGTCCCCCGAACCCGTGCTCCACCCCATTCTGACAGGTGGCGGGAGTGAGGTATCGCGTTTTGGGCCAGGTGTGGATCATCCCGCTAGTCTCCTAGTGTCTCCTCCTGGGGATTATCGGTTCCTTCCCCCATGGTCAAGTGCATAGTCCGAAATGCCTCTGTACCCACCCGTGCCAACCAGGGTGTCCATGTGTCTAAGTATGTCTGCGTTCGGTCTTGGGCTGAATACCAGATCTCCTCTGTGACTCGTAACTCCTCCATTCTAGTAAACCACAGGGAGAGTGTTGGGGTTGTGTCTTTTTTCCAGTACAAAGGTATTAGGTGTTTTGCTACGTTAAGGATTCGGATGGTCAGGGAGCGTTTGTAGCGTGATGTGGGGGTTGTCGTGTGGTGTAAGAGGTACGGGGCGGGCCGGAAGGGTGGGACATTGTCCGTGAACATGGCCACCATGGCAGCTATTTGCTCCCAGAACGGTACTATGAGTGGGCATTCCCACCATATGTGAAGAAAGGATCCTGCCCCTCTCTCGCACCTCCAGCAGAGGCCATCCGCGTCCAAGTGCATTCTCTGTAAGCGTTCTGGGGTCAGGTACCATTGTGTGAGAACCTTGTAGGCAGTTTCCTGGGTTTTGCTAGCGATTGCGCAATGGTGCACTAGGTCGCAGATCTTGTGCCACTGGGTCTCGGTAAATGTTTCCCCTACGGCTGTCTCCCATTTGGACATGAAGGGGGGTAGGGGGTGTCCCTGTTGTCGTTGTAGCATGGAGTAGAAGTAGGAAATGCTATGGGGCATGGGCTCCGAGTCCTGGCACAGCTGTTCGAATGGCGTAAGGTCCCTATATACGTCGGGATGTTGTGGTATAGCAGTGATGTAGTTTTTAATTTGGGTGTCTCTAAATGTCGTCATGAAGGGCTGGGTGGGTGTGCCCGTGAGCGACTGTAGGGACACGATTTTCCCATTGGTGGTCATGTCTCGGAGTCTGGGTATGGTTTGAGGGAGGACGCAGCAGAGGCTCCCCGGTCTTACCCCCGGTTCAAACTCCGGATTGTACGCCAGAGGCAGTAGCAGGGATGGGAAGGAGGAGAGGCGTAGTTTCCTTGCTTGTGAGTGCCATACGGTTAGGGTGGCAGTGATGAAGGGCTGTTGGTGGACTAGCCGCCTACCAACCAGTGGGTCCAGCCACAAGAGGGCTGAAAGGGGCCTGCCTGCGTGGTGTGTTTCGATAGCCTTCCAGGGTTTGCTAATCCCCTCTTTTGCCCATTCCAGGGCCCGTTGCATGTGACATGCTTGGTAATACAGTTTGAAATCAGGAACGGCCAGGCCTCCTGCTGTTTTGGGGAGTGTGAGTTGTGTGTACTTGAGTCTGGGTTTAGTACCCTTCCAGATAAATTTAATGAGGAGGGTGCGGAGTGCGGAGAAGAAGGTGGTAGGGAGTTGGAGTGGTAGTGTCTGGAATAGGTAAAGTACCCGTGGGAGGATGTTCATTTTGGCAATGGCCACCCTGCCGAGCCAGGAGAAGTGAGGTGTGGCCCATTCTGTCAGGTTCTTCCGTAATGTTGCCATCAGTAGGGTGAAGTTCATATGGTAAAGTTTGGATAGGTCGGCCGTGAGCTTCACCCCCAGATATTTTATAGCGGTGTCTTGCCATTGGAAGGGGAAATTTCGTCGGATTTGGTCTGCCCTCTTCCGGGGGAAGCTAATGTTAAGTATAGAGGATTTAGCGTAATTGATCTTGAGGTTGGCAATTTTGCCGTATGTCTTTAACTCTGCCATAAGGTTTGGGAGGGAGATTTCTGGGTTTGTTATAAAAAATAGCATATCGTCTGCATATGCTGTGATTTTGTGGTGGTCTGCCTCCACCGCCACCCCTGAGATATCTGGGTTGTCCCTTACCGCTTGTAGGAATGGCTCCAGGGCCAGGATAAACAAAATCGGTGACAGAGGGCAGCCCTGCCTGGTTCAATTCCTGACCGGGAATGCGTCTGTATAGACCCCACACCCTGGCCATGGGGGACGAGTAGAGGGCCTCTATCCGCTGGCGCATGTGGGTCCCCAGGCCAACATGCTCCAGTACCGAGAACAGGTAGTCCCACGCCACCCTATCAAAGGCCTTCTCCGCGTCCGTGGAGAGGAGGAGAAGGCTCTCCGAGGAGCGCTGTGCGTGGTGGATCAGGGAGAGGGCCCGGACCGTATTGTCCCGGGCTTCCCTGTGGGGGACGAATCCCACTTGGTCAGGTGAGATTAAGTCTGGTATGTGTGGATTCAACCTTGTAGCTAGTATTTTAGCGAATAGGCGTAGGTCGCAGTTAAGCAACGATATCGGTCGGTAGCCCGTGCACCGTTCGGTATCTCCCCCCTCCTTTGATAAATTGAGGGGACAATGTGGCCAGGAAGGTTTTGTAGTATTTGAGGGGGAGGCCGTCTGGGCCTGGGCTTTTGCCGGTCTTCGAGGATTTGATGGCTAGGGTCAGTTCCCCCTCCGTCAGGGGCGCCTCCAAAGCCTCCGCTGCGTCTGAGGAGAGTTTAGTTTTAGTGTATTTAGTGAGGTATGTGTTCATGCGGGTCGTGCCCACGTAAGGGTCCGCCCGAGGGGCGTGGGGGGGAATCGCGTAAAGGTCCGTGTAGAAGCGGGTTACAGCTGTAGCGATTTGATCTGGCATGTGGTGTAGTTGGCCTGCGGCGTCGCGCATGCGTGCAATATATGTCATGGAACGTTTTTTTGTTGATCATTCTGGCCAGCAACCTGCCGCACTTATCTCCTTCTGTGTAGAAGAATGATTTAGTGCGCTGGAGGGCCCTACTGTACGATTGCCGCAGGGTCTGTGCTAGTTCTTCACGGGCTGCTGTGAGTTCCCCGAGAAGTGTGTCGTCTAGTGTTCGCTTGTGGGCCTGTGTTAGGGTCCCTATCTTGGCAGTTAGTTCCCGGATCGTGTGGTCCCGTGCCTTCTTCAGGGCAGAGGAGTGTGAGATGAGAATCCCTCTCATCACACACTTGTGGGCCTCCCATGTCAAGAGGGGGGATGTGTCCTGTGGTAAGTTCTCGGTGAAGTAGTTCGTCAGGGCTTGTTGTACGTCTTGGGTCACCTGCGGGTTGGATAGGAGGTTTTCGTGGAGCCGCCACGTTGTGGTTTTGGGTTTGTGTAGTGGCGATGTGAGTTGGATCATGAGTGGTGCGTGGTCGGACCACATTGTCCCCCCTATGGCAGAGTCCCGCAGTCTGGGTAGATAGTAGTATGGCAGAAAGAAGTAGTCGATGCGTGTGTAGCAGTCATTCGGGGTCGAATAGAAGGTGTAGTCCCTAGCTGTCGGGTGTGTCGCCCTCCAACAATCTGTAAGCCTGTGCTGGTGGAGAAGTTTATGAATTTTAAGCAGTGTGGGGGGGGTGTCGATGAATGGCCCCTGGATGCGTCCATCATCGGGTGTAGAGCGATGTTGAAGTCCCAACAGCCCGTCGTGAAGTCGTGGAGGGCCCGGAGTGTGTCCCGGAGGAATCTGTCCTGTCGCGTGTTTGGGGCGTAGATGTTGGCAAAGGTATAGGTTTCGTCCAGGATTTTACCCCTAACGAATACGTATCTGCCCAAGTTATCAGTCATGGTTGAGTCAGCTACGAAGGGTATGGATTTGTGTAGGAGTATTGCTGTCCCCTTAGATTTCCCATCCGGGTTATTGCTGTAGAAGCCTTGGGTGTATATATGGTTGCAGAGTTTCGGAGCAGCGTTGGTTTTAAAGTGGGTTTCTTGGAGGTAGACCACATGGGCTCTAGTTTTCTGACCGAGGCGTAGCGCGTGTGACCTCTTTTCGGGGGAGTTTAAGCCCTTAGCGTTTAGGGATAAGAAGTTGAGTGGGGCCGGTGCGTATTTGGGTGCGGGTGTAGCCATAATGTCAAGTCCCGCGGGTGTCGAAGTCGCCCCGGTCAGTGGGGGCGGGTGAGGGCCTAGGTAGGTAGAGCCCGGCCCGGGGGCAAGCGGGGAAGAGCGGGGGAGCGGATATCTCTGCACGGCGGAGCGCAGAGGGGGCCGCCCCCGCAATGGAGCAGAGGCACCGGTGTCAGGGGGGTAGAGATCCCCCGGCCCGGAGACCGGAGTGGGGGATGGCCCCCCCTATACAGTAGACACCGACCTCACGGGGAGTGGAAGGCGCCTTGTCAACCCGCCAACAGCGGCGGCTGTGGATCAAAACAAACACCAACAGGTGTAACTTAAACCTGTGAAAACTACTCCCTAAAAGTGGTGTGGAAAGCCTGTGTCCACCCGGAGGGCGTCCCGGTTAACGGACCCCCTTGTGGGTTCCCCCTTCTGTGTGATGGTGGGTTGTGTCGCTCTGGTTGCAGCACGTCTCTGGGTTGTGTACGCGGGTGCTCATACCATATTGCGTATAGAACTGTACCCTGGTGTAGCGTGGCCTGGCACCTATCCAGTGTTGCATGCGAACCCCTAGACCCTTGGAACTTGCGCGTGCGCCGAACCTGTGGTATAAGTAATAGCCAGGCTCGGGACGTGCAGGAGCATATGTCGTGTTGTACCCAGTCCCATGGTGCTAGTGGTGTGGACGGGTGTGTGCGCAGGGTGACGTGTATCAAGGAGCACTGTTAGCCTGTGCTGGCAGATCTACACATATATACACATTCACATATATACACAATA